TACACATATTCTTTAGAATTAGTGTTTTGTCTTTCTTTAAATATTGCCAGGTGGATACTGAAAATATCAGGGAACATTTTATAAAGTATACGATTGTCTAACCACTATGCTGTACACCTGGAACTAATAAAAATAATATTAAATGTAAAATATACATATCTTTTGATTAAAAGAAGAAAATAATATTTATTTTACTGATAGACATAATGTCTTGATTTTTGTTCATATTTATTGTGCTATAATTTTAAAATATGACCCTATGTCTATTGAAAGAGGTATGTTTCAACACTTTTCACACTCTCAGTATGGAACTGTTGGTCATTCCCGACACTCACCTTCTTCTTCCTCACTTGTGTGTCTTTCTTTGTGGGTCTCTCCACATATTCCACTCACCCTTCCATATAGGGTGTTTCTAGGTGCCACAAGAAAAAAAACTCCAAGACCACCTGGATTTTTGCCTGCTTTGCTCACTGCTATACCCCAATAGCTAGAAGAGTGCTTGGCAAGTAGTAACGACTCAAGTAACAATTAGTGAGTGAATGAGCAAATACACAGTCTTCTTTGACTTTGTCAGCCTGGAGTTCACAGCTCATTACCCTCCAGCATCTGCTTTTGTGTCTGTCTTCCTACTCGTCTGTGATTCCTTGTAAATGAGTGTTTTGATTCTGGATTGTCCTGAAATGTTTCTTAGCCTACCCTCTGTGTATTGACGCCTTTTTCCTCCTTAAAATGAACTACACAAACCCTCATAATCAGAGTCTCCTTGATAAATATTTAAGGGAAGGCATCCAGCTCATAAAAAAGTGTCATGGATTATGACTAAATCAACCAGGCTGTATTTGATATACAAGAAAGTTCTTTTAAAAGTAATTACTACCTACATACTTTAAAGAAAACTGTGATCCTTTTACACATTTTTATAAGGCTTTAAACCAATCTGAGCAGATAGAGTTTTTTGTAGAGGCTTAAGGTGATAATGAAACATCAAAATTGTAAATTACAAAAATTGTATGCCTGAGCTTCTTTAGATGGAATTAATACTTCAAATAAGTCAAAGCCACCAAGTAGTATGCTTTATTTACTTTATCCCTTAATGTTACAAGGGGAAACTGTTGCCAGAGAAACACACTAAGGAAGAAAATGGGGCTCATGATTCAGGAAAAACACCCAAGTGTCCAAACCAGGACCCTCAGTTTGGTAGAGTCCAAGCAACATTATCAGTTTCACTGCATGCTCTGTGCCCACACTTGAGATTGCTATGAAACAAACATTCTTCTTTCTTTGAATCTTCACTTTTTCACACAGTACTGGTTTGTTTTGTTTTGTTTTTAAGGCTCCATGGAGGACATTTTCCCCACATCTCATGCCTTTCCTGAAGGTCTAGACTACTTTTATCTGTAAATTGACCATGTATCTCATAGTATTTCATCTTTTTTCACATTAGTTGTGCAAAAGAAAAAAGAACAGATTTTAGATCCTGTACCCTGTAAGTATTATCAACACACTCTATATTGTATGTATGCCCATGAATTTTTCTTAGTGTCAGTTTTATTTCCTTATTTAGTGTCCCACATCTCTCAAAAATTCAGTATCTCCCTTGAATCCATGTGAACGGATCCTTTATGGAAAAAAGAGATTCCGATAATACACAGAATATATTTTGTTTGAAAATAAAATGGGCATAATATTCCTTTTAAATGTTTTTGTATAATAATAAAAATGGCATCAAGAAATCAATGGCATTCTTATACACAAACTATGAACTCACAGAAAGAAACTAAAAAAAAAAAAAAATCTCATTTATCATTGTGGCAAAAATATTAAGATAACTAGAAACAAAATTAACCAAAGAAGAAAGGACCTCTTCACAGAAAACTACAGGTAATTGAAAAAAAGAAATAGAGGAAAATATAAAAGAGTGAAAGCATACACCGTGTTCATGGATTAGAAGAATTAACATCATTAAAATGTCCATACTACCCAAAGCAATCTATAGATTCATTGCAATCCCCATCAAAATACAACGACATATTTCACAGAACTAAAACAAATACTCCAAAAGTTTACATGGAGCCAAAAAAGACCCGGAATAGCCACAGAAATCTTGAAAAAGAAGAACAAAGTAGGAGGAATCACAATACCGGATATCAGGTTATACTACAAAGCCACTGCAATCAAAACAGCCTGGTACTGGCACAAGAACAGGCACATAGATCAATGGAATCTATGTGCAGAGAACAGAGAACCCAGAAATTGACCCAAGACAATATGCTCAATTAATATTTGACAAAGGTGGCAAGAGCATACAGTAGAATCAAAACAGTTTCTTCAATAAATGGTGTTGGGAAAATTGGACAGCTACATGCACACACACAAAAAAAAGCTAGATGACCTACTTACACCATACACAGGAATAAACTCAAAATGGATAAAATACTTAAATGTGACTCATGAAATCATAAAAATTCTAGAAGAAGATGCAGGCAACAAAATTTCAGATATATGCAGTAGAATTTTCACTGATACAATGCCCAAGGCAAGAGAAACAAAAGAAAAAATGAACACATGGGACTCCATCAAACTCAAAAGCTTCTGCAAAGCAAAAGACAAAAAGGGAACCCACTATATGGGAGACCATAATTGCCAATGATGCACCAGATAAGGGGTTAATTTCCAAAATACATAAAATAGTCATACAACTCAATAAAAGGAAGACAAAGCAAAGAACCCAATTAAAAAATGGGCAGAAGATCTAAAGAGACACCTCTCCAAACAGGACATAGAAATGGCCAAGAGACATGAAAAAATGCTCAGCATCACTAATCATCAGAGACATGCAAATTAAAATAACAATGAGGTATCACCTCACACCTGTCAGAATGGCCGCCATCAACAAATCATCAACAAACAAGTGCTAGCAAGGATGTGGGGGAAAGGAGACTCTAGTACACTGCTGGTGGGAATGCAGACTGGGGCAGCCACTATGGAAGACAACATGGTGTTACCTCAAAAAATTAAAAATTGACCTAGTGATCCCACCTCTAGGAATATACCCTAAGAACCCTAAACACCAATCAGAAAGAATATATGTATCCCTATGTTTATAGCAGCACTATTTACAATCGCTAAGATCTGGAATCAGCCCAAGTGTCCATCAATAGATGAGTGGATAAAAAAACTGGTACATGATCTCACTTATTTGTGGAATAAAATGAACTAAACAAACTGCTGAACAAAATTAACCCAGAGATATAGAGGTGGGGCACAGACTGACGAGTCTCTGAGGAGGGGGGTTTGTGGGGGAAGAGATAAACCACAGAACTTACATGCATGTATACATGACCAATGAACATAGACAACAAAGCTGGGTATAGGGTGGAGGGGGAGGGAAGGAGGGTGTCAATAGGGGGAAAATGAGGAACATCTGTAACAAAAAAAATTAACAAATAAAAAAAAAAAAAAAAGCTGTAGCACATATACACAATGGAATACTATGCAGCTTTAAGAAAGAAAGATCTCTTATCCTTTGAGACAATATGAAAGGACCTGGAAAGTATTATCCTAAGTGAAAGAAGCCAATTAGAGAAAGACAAATTTCACATGATCTCATTCATTGGTGGTATATAATGAACAAAAAAACTGATGAACAAAATAGACTCAGAGACATAGTAGTGGGGCACAAACCTCAGAAGGAGTGTAGGGAGGGAGGGGAGGAAAGAGATAAAACACAGAACCTGTATGCAGGTATGCATAACAATGGACAAGGACAACAATGCTGGGCACATGTGCAGGGGTGTGATCAGGAGGAGGGGGTAAATGGGGGCAAAAGGAGAAACATTTGTAAAATAAATAAATAAATTTAGGAAAAATGGTAAGACAGAGTACAAGCTGTCAAAGATATTGTAGCACTAATTTTTACCATGTAGCTATTCTTTGGAGACTTAATAGTGTCATTAGGGCAATCAAAGAAGCTATGAGCATAACAAATGGACAGAAAGACTAATATATGTTGCCTGGTCGGTGTGACTCAGTGGTTAAGTGTTGACCCATGCACCAAGAAGTTGCCGGTTCAATTCCTGGTCAGGGCACATGCCCAGGTTGTGGGCCCAATTCCCAGTGGGGAGCATGCAGGAGGCGGCCAATCCATGTTCTCTCTCATCTATGTTTCTCTCGCTCTCTTCTTTTCCCTTCCTCTCTCTCTAAAATTAATAAAGAAGAAAAATTTAAAAAATAATAATATATCTTATTTTAACAACCCTGGAATGTTTACATTTTTGCATGGAATTTATGAAAAAAATTTTGTATTGAACATACAATTTTAAATAGCCTGTAGTTAATGTGTAAAATACATTAAACTCTAAAAAACAAAATTAAAAAATCATCTATAATTTCATCTCTCCAAAGTAATATGTATTGATAGTGTGAAGTTTCTGTCTATATTTTCTGCTTATATATGTATATATGTATGAGCACAGTTCACATATGTAAGTGAGTTTCTATATTATATATAATATATGTTAGTGTCTGCTTATTTAAATTGTAGTGTATAGTCCTTGAATTCTATTTATTTATTTATTTTGTGGTATGTGCCCGTAGCAGGAACCAAACCCGAGACTCTGGTCTGCAGGCCGACGCTCAACCGCTGAGCCAAACTGGCCAGAGCTTGAATTCTATTTTTTACCCACGCTTTTATACTAAACTCTTCTTCATATTTTGATATGCACAACATTGTTTTTAATGGTTGAGTAATGGATATAATCTATAGCAATATTTGGATATAAGAATATTTCCTTTCCACATATATTCCAACCTTTGGTAATGTAGCACGATGTAAGTTATTTCTTGCTGAGGCGATTCATTCAAAGGCTCCTTGGGGATAATAAAATAAGTTTCAATGCCAAACTATCTAATGGAAACAGGGACCATTTATCCCTGCTTGTGATCACTAGGCATAAAGTGAACCCAGTCACACAAGAAAAAAATTAAACCCAGGCACTTACTAATTTCAGTAGCAATGATCGTTATGTTGTGCCACACACTTAGCTCTCTGTCGAGTGGTGTTGCCAGCGTTATCTTTCCATCATCTGCATTAATGTTGAATTGTCTCTCTAGGTCAGTGTGCCGGTCGATGGAAAACCTAGAAAACAGATATATCCGTAATCTACTTCAACGTTCATATGACCCATACATTCCATAGCAGACCTTTAGTAATCCTTGGAGAGCCATCATTGTGAAGTCAAATGAAGTGGGAAACTTAGTGGCATCATAATTTGTAAAACAAAATGACTGAATGAGGCACAAGAAACTTGATAATTACTGTCCAAGGAGTAATTAGCTACATATGCAACATGGAGGTCATAAACTGCCACCGATTTCAATAGGTAGCATCTTCAAAAATGGATGCTGATGAAGAGTTAATTGGACAATCCATCACATTTATTGGGCAGCTCATGATAATTAGCAGTTGCCACAAAATATCATAGAAAACAATGAATTCAAGCCCAAAGCTGGATGGTTAGGCACCATGTAATTTATGGCAGTTCTGGGTAAATGAGTGTTTGTGTTCAACTTGTATTTGACTAGACAACATGTATGTGTTTTGCTTTTGCTGCTGTTGTTTTGTTTTGTTTTTATTTTATTTTAAGTAAAGTACATATTTAGGCTTCCCATTAGTCTCTGTCTGTAGAAATCATACAGTTGCTGATTCTCTAGTAATACTTTTTAAAAGTTGGAATAGATATTTTAACAGATTTATAATACTAGATTCTATGAAATTAAAATTTTTAAATGAGCTTATTAGTAGTAACTATTTTGAGAACATTTTCAGATAGGCAACATTATGGTATTTTGTGTCTAGAAACAACTGCTTCTCGGGTATACCAAGTATTAAGATTACACAGAAATTATTTTTCCGCAGCATTTATCAATATTATTTTTATTAATCAAGATCTGTACTTTGGCTATGGAATGCCAAATATAAATAGGTATATATGTCTTAGGAAACACAAGGCATAACTAGAAAACTTGGCCCATAAATAAGCAGTGCAGTGAACTGAAGCAGAATAGAATAAAAGCCCAAAGAAAAGTGTTGTGGACTGAATATCTGTGCCTCCCTGAAATTCATATGTTAAAACCCAAACTCCCAATGTGGTAGAATGTCTAAGTACCTTTGGTGATGATTATGGTTACATTAGGTTATGGGTGTGAGACCCTCATTGTGGGGGTTGACACAGGATCCCTCTCCAGTTTCTGCCAGTGATATTGCAAGAAGACAATCATCTGAAAACCAGGAATCAGGTCCTCACTACAAACATAATCTGCGGGTGCCTTGATCTTGGACTTTCCAGTCTCCAGAACTGTGAGAAATAAATGTCTGTGGTTTGAGCCACCTGCCTATGGTATTCCACATCTGCAGCAGCCCAAACTAAGACAAAGGTCAATCCCATTTTAGGAGAGAGGATTGAAGAAAGCCTCTATGGTTGGTGGCCTCCTAGCAAGTTTCTATGAAATCCATCCATTCATTGATGCTCATTGACCCTAAATATAAAACAGGGTTCATGACTATTGGTGCTAAACATATTTCTTATATATTTTTATGAACATTTATTATATCAAGTTTAGATTATAAGAAAATGAGAAAAAAATAAAATCTCCATAATTTTATGCCTATAGCTTTGTATTGTTATATTTTAGTGGATTTCATTGCAAACAGTATATATTTATGTATATTATGCATCTCTACTTATTTATGTACATATACTTGTTACTACATTTACTTGTGACAATAGATGGATGGATGAATAGATAGATGATAGATAGATAGATAGATAGATAGATAGATAGATAGATAGATGATAGGTAATCCTTTATGTCCTTTATATCAGATGCAAACACCATGGAAAAAAGCATCCATGTTAAATCCTCCACACCAAAGACAAGCATCATTGAACAATTTGGAATAATATTAAAAAGTACTTAATTTTATTGGCAATAATTTATTGCTAAATTTCTTGAGAAAATATTGTATAATAAAATTATGACTCCTTATTTATTTAAGAGCTACAAAAAAAAAAAAAAAAACAAACTAAGAAGCTGACTTGCATCTATCCATCAGGCATTTACAAACTGACCCTGTACCCTACCCCTCAGATGATCAGAGACATTCAGAAAGGACTTAAGAACCCAGAGGCATATGTGGGTTAACAGTGCTTTGCACTGAATCTGGAACATGAGAAAGTGCTCACTGAAAGCATTTCAATCTATTGCATTGTGGAAAGAAGACCAAAAGCAATTTTTCTGAGGATCAATGATTGTTGATGAGACCAGTGAGGTTCCAAGTTTAACTCTAAAATAACTCAATAAGCATGTGTTTTTGCTCCAGATATCATGTAGACTCTGACTCTTAAAAAAGCTAAGAAATATCCAGAGGATTAATTATCACTTTCTATACCATATCCATATATAAACTTTGTAGGCATTGCTGGGCTGTAGTAATTTTATTATCTCTTTGCTGATATTTCACATATTCATGCATCAAACAATTTCCCAGGGGCCACAGCAAAGGAGAATCAGTCTAATCACTGATACTCATGGTTTCCAAATCTGGAACAAGTTTCTTGGCATTTGATTGATTACCTAAACTTCTGGCCCAGAGGAAGCACTGGGAACAATGACAGGGTTTGGGAAGTTGGTATTTTACTTTTAAGTTGTTTAACTCCTTATTTAAATCTGTATCAGACCTCAAATTTGGAATACATTTTATCTCTATTATTTATATATTGCTACTTCTGAGATAATTAATAAATTCACTGAGCCTCAATGTCTTTACTGGTCAAATATGAAGTACCCATATCTCAGGGTGGTTGTAAAGACTAAAATTAAAGCATAAATCAATCTCTGTTACTTAGTAGGGAATAAAGACATATTAATCGTCATCATTACCATAACCATCATGTCCCATTAAATAGAATTCCATTTTTAAATGTTATCCCATTTTTATTTATTTAATTTTAAAAATTTCATAATTAATTATTTAATTTATTTTTGCTACAGATGTTTGTTCTTTTCCCCCCATTGACACCCTCCCCCCACCCCCTACCCACCAGCATCATTGTCTATGTCCATTGATTATGCTTATATGGATAAGTTCTTTGGTTTATCTCTTCCCTCCTCCCGGTCCCTCTCCTCTGAGGTTTGTCAGTCTGAACCCTACTTCTATGTCTCTGGATCTATTTTGTTCATCACCTTATTTTGTTCATTATATTCCACAAATAAGTGAGATCATGTGATACTTATCTTTCCCTGACTGGCTTATTTCACATCTTTCCTACTTGGAAGGTGGTGCAAAGGGTGCCTTAAATTCTTAACAGTTTATAAATAGCATAAAACTGGAAAAACACTGGGGTATTATTTAACTTTCATAACTTTCACAGAGGCAAGGATATTTTTGTCATTCTTTAAAGTTCCATTTTATGACAGACTTTATGGGGTGAGTCATAAGCATTTATAAAATCAGCTATAAATACAGCCCTTTAGTAAGATCAGAGATAAGAATGTCATAATATTATAAGATTACACAATGGGAGGAACTTGATGGGGGAAAGTGACTTAGTTTAAAATTCAATTTAAAACCTACCTCAACTATTTCAAGACGTCCCTTGCTGCAAAAGTAGACATTTCACGCATTTTATTGTAGACTTTATGATGAAGGTTCCCAAGAATTACTGAACAGTCCCAAAACCCAACTTAACATAGTCAACAAGCATTCATTAAACAAACGTGTACCAAGCACAGTGCCAGGTGCCTTTTCCTTCTTCCATCCTGCTTATCTTTGTTTTTAATAGAATGGACGTAAGAAAAATTACTTAATTAGGTGTGATTTAATTGTGTTATTAGTCTCACTGTGTCTTGGTTACCTATCTGTAAAATGGAAATTATAATAAGAGCCACTTTTTCAATCTGTAAATAATCTCTTCAAGCCCAGAGTAATTGTGGAAATGACAATCCAGAAATAGAAAGATATAAACAAGGACTATCATTCACATCCCCCCTTTTATTTTTACTGTTACCTGCATTTATTTATTTTTATTGAATTTATTGAGTGATATTCATTAAAATCATATAGGTTTCAGGTATATTCTATAATATATTATCTGTATATTGTATTGTGTGTTCACCACCCCAAGTCAAGTCTCCTTCTATCACCACTTATCCCTTCTTTACCCTCTCTGCCTCCCCTCTTCCCCTCTGGTAATCACCATGCTGTGGTCTGTGTCCGTTTTTTTTTTGTTTGTTTGTTTTTGTTTTTTCTTTCTATCTTTCTTGGTTTTTTTTTTCCTTAATCCCTTAGTAGGTAAGGTAGAATTTGGCAAGTGACACTAGAAAAAGATCCCCAAACTCTTTGCAGTGTTTGTCTTCACCCCTTTCAGAATATCTGCTCCTATGACTATCTCCATAGAGCATAGACTCCAAACTGAAGAGAGGCAATATCGGGTTTCCCAGCTCACCTCTCCCACACCCAAGGAGTCTTCTTTACCTGACCTGAGTCTTTGCTCATCTTTCCTTCCTTAAGAATGTCCTTTTTATTATTGTAGTGTTAAGCATTTGCTGGACTTTTGCACTTTTAAGATAGGCAGAAAATGTTTGGTTCAGATATCAGAACATCACATCGGCTGGCATTCTGTAGTACAGTTACTAAATAACTGACTAGTAGAAAAATGGACATTTATTGAACATGGACTATTATGTGTGAAACATGGTGATGTAAGAAATATGAGAAAAAGGATTTCATGGGATAGAAAAAGAATAAAAAAAGAAAAATAATTATCAAAATAATTATTTTGATGCCTAATATATCTTTCTAAAAGCTCAATGCCTTCTAATTTATATCTTACAAGTCATAGGATTCATATCTCCAGTATTGAAGTTTGCATTCTAATTTCTTAAAAACCTGCATGTATTGGATTTGCTGTTCCTTTGCAGAATTACTTAAGACGCATTAGGAAAAAAGATCTCATTTTGAGAAAAGCAGAATACACTTTTGATAGTGATCTTCCTGCCACAGTAAGAAAAAAACATTTTATTAACACAGTGGGGAGTGGCATGTGGAAAAATGGGCTTCTTGGGTCATGTTAATAT